TAGGCATTGGAAGGAGCTTGAGAAGACAATGACTATGATGCTTTTGGTAGCTTGTAGAGCAGTAATGAGCTAGGTCTCTGCTCTCCTTCCTCAGAGTAGCAGATGTGGAATGTCCAAATTTTATTAATGTCTTTAATATAGGGCCTCATAGCCACAATGGCTCAAATTAAACTTGGGCTTTTTGGTATTTATAGTGATCTCCTCAATTTATAGTATGTTCTCATATTTCCATCCTCATGACAGGTAGTGGCAAAGGTCCTGAGAATTCAGAGATGTATAGTACTGTGCCTCAGTGGAAAAAGGTTTCCCAAACAACTCGAGAACTCCTGTGCATTATACAGATCAGTGCAAAATAATTTCTGAACATACTTAATTATTTATGTTGAACCGCTGCTCACAGACTATGTTTGTGAGAACAGCCATAGGGTTTTGAAATCTGAGAAAAATGAAGCAAATATGAAAGTATTATCAAGGATGGGGTAAAAATTTGTGAAGGACAAGTTGCAGAAAGGGCTACCTGTTAAATTCTCATCGAAAAATTTTGAAATTTAGGCATTTGCATGCACATATACACGTAATATCCTTCTGAATGGAAAGGAATAGGTGTGTCATCTCTGAATTAAGAGCTGATTTAGTGGCTTGGTTTTTCATAGACAGTTTAAATATCGAAATGCTCTGCAGTGGAATTTACTAAGTGGTGTAAAGGAGAAGCTCTAAACAGAAATTTTGCAGTGATATCAATAGTTAGGCATGAAGGGTTTCATGCTGAGGATGTATCAGAGGAGTGTGGAAAGGATGTGCAAGTGACTGACAGAATGCAGGAAGCCAATAGCAGGACATACAACAGAGAGGGTCTTTAATGAAATTCAGGTAGTTCTTAGAGTAAGTGTGAAGTTAAAGTTGGGTTCTGATTGTTTCCTTGAGGTGATCAACACCAGCTCTGGCAAAAATCAGTATTTCACATCCTTGTCAACCCATGAATTTTGTGTTCCATACTTGAGATCTAATTTTGATTATCTCTAATTATGCCCCAGTGTCATGAAGGTAAAATGTGGATTTTTTTTGTACCAAGGATCAAACTCATAACCTATGCATTCCAGGCAGGTGTTCATGCTACTGAGCTAAATAGCCAGCTATGAAAGTGTTTTCTTTGTTGTATGGAAGATATCCACATTGTTTCTCAGAAAGTGTTGAATATTGTTGGAATTTTCCCATATTGTATGGCTATAATTTTTAAAACCAAACCACAGGTGTCTTATGCAGTCTCTTTTCAAGTTTCACTTTGTCTGTGGGGTGTCACAGTCAGGGCTTCTCTATGAGTTAGACAGAGTTAGACAGAGTTAGACAGCTCTGTAACTTAGGATAGCCCCAAATTCAAGGAAGAAGTCCTTCACCAGCCTCACAGGACATATTTCTTATATGTGAATTGAAAGTGAATGCTTGGTGACAGTGAGCTATAAATTACAGCTTGGGCCTCGTTCCATTTTATATACTTACTTTTTAAAAACAGCATTTTTCACTAACATTTGAGTTATTATTTGTGTACCATATTGGATGTTATTTATGTTTTGTTCTATGAAACCAAATTCATGTTTCAAAATGCTGCTGAAGTATATTAAGAACAAAGTATTCACTGGCCTAAATGAGATTTGAAGAGACATTATCTGTAGCCTATCAAAGTGATTGATGAGATTTTTTTTCTTTTTTTAAATTTTGAATGTGGTAAAATACAACAGAACAAGGCAGAATAAGGCCAACTGAGATCATACAGTGAAAATGGTACACAACTTCACAACTGGTTATTGCGATAACAGTAATACGTATCACAGTATATTTTATTATCTTTATAATAGTTGTTCTTTTTTTTTTTTTGTCTTTTTCCTTTTTATTAGCACCGGGGATCGAGCCCATGACTGTCTGCTTGCAAGGCAGGTGCTTATGCCGCTGAGCTAAATCCCCAGCCCCAATAGTTGTTCTTTAAAACACGTATATCAAAATGAGATGAAATACCGAACATTATAGTACTTATCAAAACAGAATATTGAATAGAGCAATACCATTAATCAGAAAAGAGCAAAACAGAAATAAAAATATTCACCTTCAAAGAGATAGTAGAAGGAAGTCCCCCTTATTTTTTATGGTCTGCTTCCCAAGAGACACTCAGATTTCTGGTTCCCATTTGCTAATGTGGGTTGACAGGAGAAGAGGGGTAGGGAAGTGGGATGTTTGATTCTAGGCCGTGCATCAGTAGGTTCACTATTGCTTAGTAGGGAGACAGGCTTGTTGTTTGGTTTCACAGTATCCTAAGTTCCAACATAGTGTGGATCTCAGGAGGTGCTGCTGGTTCTCCCCCTGGAAGGGCCGCATTCTGCCAGACCTCCACTACTTACCAGGGAGAAGTGGTGCTTGCTGGCCTTCCAAGTGTCCTAAATTCCAGCATGGTATGGATCTCAGGAGCTGCTGCTGGTTTGCCCCCTGGATGGGCCACAGTCCTCCACACTGCCACCACTTACCAGGGAAGACAGGTGCTTGCTTGGCTTCCTAGTTGATTGAGGGGATATTTTTCTGCCTCTGTGCTTTGTGGATGCTGGTCCTGCAGGCTTCTCACTGTGAGCTCTGCATTAGAGACAGTACACAGGGAATATTGCAGTGACTCAGCAAAAGAATCAGTGCTCCTGTTTCACTGTTACATTAGCAGTGAGTTGCAATCTATCATCAAATTTGCTGTCTTCAATAATGTGTATATACACAAAATTAATGACCAAGACTTATATTTAAATTTGCAGAAATCAGTCTTCATTCAGCTGTTTAGTTTGGTTGTATTTGTTTAGTTTTGTTTTGTTTTATTGAGACAAGCTTTCTATATGTATATCAGCTAGATTTGAACACCCTATGGAGCCTGGAATTGCCCTGAACTCACTGAAACCATCCTGCCTCAGCCTTTTGAGTGCTGGCATTATAGATATATACCACCACACTTTGCTTTTGATTCAGATTTGTAGGAGAGAATTTAAGATATCCCAAACCTGATGTCTCAACCTTCATGTGAGAAATATATGTATGATCCTTTAGGAGGTGGTGAACTTTGAGGATGTGGTCGTGAACTTCAGCAATGAGGAGTGGACTTTGCTGAGTCCATCCCAAAAGAACCTATACAGAGATGTGATGGGCGAAACCTGTAGGAACATGACTGCAATAGGTAATGCCAAAATACTTTTGTCACTCTTGTTGTCAGGATGTTGTATGTCGCTGTTTCATTAAAAACAATGTGAAAATATTTTTAAAAATAGCTCAGACCTGGACACATTATATCATAACTCTAAACAAAATCTACTAATTTGTATGTATTATTCTAATGAGCACTGGTATTTCTATGTCTACAATTCAGGAGGACTTGGGGATATCCAGGAAGCTGAAAAAGAATGCAAAATTTACTGGAGATACTTAAGGTAATTCCCACTCATAAGGAGAACAAATGTTCCTGAGTAATTAGTGAGTCAGCAGAAAAATACCGCCAAAGAAATGAGGCAACATTCAATTTATTGTCAGTAACATTCTCCGAAGACGTGTAAGCTAGGGTATGTATAATGAGTGGATTAAATGAAGAAAATGTATGACATTGCATATAGATGTGTATGAAAGGCATACAATTTGAGTTAAGACATTCTCTCTTCAGTTTTTCTACCCATATATACATGTGAATACAACACATTCATCATCTAAAAATTGCTAAGATTGCAATAGAATTTGAAATAAAATGGAGTTCTTGTGTTTCCAAGCCATGCTCTGAAGAATCAGCCATTCTGACTAAAATTCTTAGAAGGCTGGTAGAATGTTAAGTGCACTCATTCTGAATATCAGTGTGCAGTTGTCTCTATAAATTGATCCCCTCATACTTGTCCTGGATATATTTTTAAAAATTCAAAATGCACATAACTGATACATGCTTACTCATATACAAAGCAGATCAAGTTATAATAGATCAGGCCTTGAAGAGGCTTAGCTATATATCACTGGATTTGTGGAGAAGGAAAATGTTAATAGACTCTTTGTGATTGTGCATTCTTGTAAATCCAGCACACTAGGAGTCAGATTTTGCAGAATTGCACATTCATGTTCAAACGTCACAGCTTAATGATCAGTGAAATTCTCTTAAAACATATTTAAAAAGCTATAGATTTTATGCTAATAGCTGTTGTTCATTCCCAGCATGGAAACGAAAAAAAATGTGTTATATAATGTCAAAAAATAAAGAATATAATGTCATTTGCCATAAGAAATAGGTGGTTCTTTCTCCCATCAATTCGGTGAAATAGCTCAGCTATGAAACCTAAAAGTTCACAGGGTTTCTCTTAGATGAGAAACCAAAATATAAATTGTGGAATGAAATGAAAGAGTTACTAGAGAAAAATAAGACTGACCATATGGAAAAGGGAACTACAGGTTAAGGACAGAAGGGAGATTGTGATGGGGAAACATATCATAATGATCTGTATGTGATACACATATGTACCCATGCCAAAAGTGAAGATAAAGATTCTGCATTTCAAAAGGTATCAAATTTTAGATTTCCAAATGTGTACCAGTCTTTTGGGAATGGTTGTTTTCAACATATCTTACAAGGCCATTGTGTTGCTTCATGGTCAGAATTTCTTAGCAGGCATTAAAAATAGAACTTGACATTAATGCAGTCATTAAACTGAGACCCATTTCACTGTGAATGTTTCTTTTTTTATTTAATGTAAGGAAAGACTAAAAAACACAAAATAAGTAGAAATGATACCGCTTTCAATGTGAAAATAAACAGTAAGAAATCTAAAGACAGTGATTACATATGCTCCTCCTAGAAATAGTTAATGAAATACAAAATGAAACATGTGATGTGGGGATTCAAACAGCAAGACTACAAACAATTTTGTTCAAATCTCCAATAAAAACTTACTAATATGGTTATCAATCCGATATGTGATTTTTTTTTTTTTTTTTTACAGAAATGACAAGGTAGGGAAATCCTATGGACGTACATCTTGGAATCAGTGTAGAGAAGTATTCCTTTGTACTGCAGAAGGTAATGTGAATGTGAAAGAAGCAGAAACACACCACAATGTTCAGATCCATGAAAAATATGGCACTAGGGAGAAATCCTATGTATGTCAGCAATGTGGAAAAGGGTTCACCAAATCTCGACATTGTAAGCAACATGAAAGAATTCACACTGGAGTGAAACCATATGTATGTAAGAAATGTGGGAAAGCTTTTAACACATGGACAAATTGTAAAATACATGAAAGAATTCACACTGGAGAGAAACCCTATGTATGTAAGCAGTGTGGGAAAGGTTTCACACAACATGGAACTTGTAAGCAACATGAAAGAATTCACACTGGTGAGAAACCATATGTATGTAAGCAATGTGGGAAAGCTTTTACCCGACATGGACTTTGTAAGCAACATGAAAGAATTCACACTGGAGAGAAACCATATGTATGTAAGCAATGTGGGAAAGGTTTCACACAACATGGAACTTGTAAGCAACATGAAAGAATTCACACTGGTGAGAAACCATATGTATGTAAGCAATGTGGGAAAGCTTTTACCCGACATGGACTTTGTAAGCAACATGAAAGAATTCACACTGGAGAGAAACCATATGTATGTAAGCAATGTGGGAAAGCTTTTAACACATGGGGAATTTTTAAGAATCATGAAAGAATTCACACTGGAGAGAAACCCTATGTATGTAAGCAATGTGGGAAAGGTTTTACCCGACATGAAAATTGTAAGCAACATGAAAGTATTCACACTGAAGAGAAACCATATTTATGTGAGCAATGTGGGAAAGCTTTTAACACACGTGCGCATTGTAAGGTTCATGAAAGAATTCACACTGGAGAGAAACCATATGTATGTAAGCAATGTGGGAAAGCTTTTAACACATGGACAAATTGTAAAATACATGAAAGAATTCACACTGGAGAGAAACCCTATGTATGTAAGCAATGTGGGAAAGCTTTTAACACACGGGGAGATTTTAAGAAACATGAAAGAATTCACACTGGAGAGAAACCCTATGCATGTAAGGAATGTGGGAAAGCTTTTAGCACACAGGGAAATTGTAAAATGCATGAAAGAATTCACACTGTGGAGAAACCCTATGTATGTAAGCAATGTGGGAAAGCTTTTAACACACGGGCAAACTGTAAAATACATGAAAGAATTCACACTGGAGAGAAACCCTATGTATGTAAGCAATGTGGGAAAGCTTTTACCCAACATGGACATTGTAAGCAACATGAAAGTTCACACTCAAGGTAAAACCAGTGCATATAAGCATCATGAGAATTTTTTGAGCACAAGTACATATTGCATAATGAATGAAAAACTTCACACTGGGCATAAAACTTATAAATGTAACGAATGTGGGAAAGGTTTCAGCAGAAATGCTCATTGTCCAATACATGAAAAAATTTACAATGTTGAGAAACCCTGTTTATGTGAAGAATGTGGGAAAGCTTTCACCACACATGGATTTTGTAAAATACATCAATGACTCCACTCTGGTGAGAAAACCTATGTATATAACAATGTGGCAAAGCTTTTACCACATACAGTCATTGCAAAACACATAAAAGAATTCACACTGGGAAGAACCACTGGCTATGTAAGCAAGTGGAGACACTTTCAGCAGCCAGATTGTAAGTGAAATACATGAAGAAGCTCACACAAGAGATAAATCCTATGTGTTATGAAAATACTCTCAACACACATGATCATTTTTACATATCTGAAAAAGTTCACTTTATCTTATGTGCATTAACAATGTGAGAAATATGGCAATCCATGTTTGTTGTTAAACACATAGAAAAAGCAGCACTCTTCAGACAGTTTAAATCTAAGTTTACTTTAAAAATTCCAAGTAGACCTGAAGAAATAATCAATACAGAAGTTTGATATCAATATTTCTTCAGAAATGACAAATCTGAAGTGGAGCTCTACTCAAGTACATATTTTGTATGGTTTTCAGTTAATCACTTATACCTCTTTAGATTTTTTAAAGTGTCTTTGTGCTTCAACATGGCATCTTGTAATTAAACATGGTAAACTGAAATGGGCTTTTCACTTTCAAGTATGGATAGTGTCTATGTACTTAATATTTTGTCTTTAAATCTTAATTTTTTATATTTTTGGTGAATTATTTTTATTTAAAGAAAAAACCAAAAAGTGTAGAAATAATACAGAAGTTCTGAAAAATAAACAGTAAGAAATCACTAGTTGATTGGTTAAATATTATCATCTTAGAAGTAATTGTCAAAGTTGCAAAATTAAAGCATGCAAAGTGATATTCAAATAATGACAATGCAAACAGTTCACCTCAGTGATCCAACAAAAACTTATTAATATGCTTATCTGTTCTACAAACTTGTTTTTTTATCTTAAAGATGGTAAGATTAAATATGACAAAGCAGAACAGTTCATAAGGAAACAAGTTAAGGAAACACAGGTTTCAAAGCAAGTCCACTGAGATGTTCATTTTCTATGTTACTGTCTCTAGTTTTCTTCAAAATAGTTGTTCCCATCTTCACAAGCATTGAATATATACCTAACATTATAGAACTAATCAAATAAATACAGGATGATAAAGGCTTTTTTGATCTTCAAGACTGATTTTGGGGAAGTTGATAATGATTACCATAATGTGTCTCATTCTCTTCATAGTAGATGTCTTTATTTTTATGTATGCTAAAATTGAACATAAGAGACTAAACTGATATCACTCTGAACAGTGAATAATAGTATCCTGAGAAGGAGAAAGGTGAGGAATTGCCTAAATAAAGAAGGCAGAGCACATTGTTAAAAGTGTATCAGGATTTAAAAGCTACAGTAGTTCTGTTGCTCTGTTTAGTTTGATTATATTTTGTTCTGGTCTATCTACTCATACTAGATTTGAGGGTACAGAGAGATAACCTAAAATGGCAGGTTATACCATGGTGGTAATTGTCCTTAATTTCCTATTAACTAAAACTGAAATCCTGTATTACTTACATTGTCTTACTATGACTGATCTTATTTTAAGCTGGTTTGTTTGAATGTTATTTGGCCTTGACTGATTTTATTCACATTTGGTATGATTGCTGGTATCAAGTCCAAGAGTAGAGGCAACTAGTCTGAAGATGATAAGATGTGAAAGATATATATTGGGGGGCTGGGGATTTAGCTCAGTGGCTTAAGCCCCTGCCTGGCAAGTGTGAGGTTGTCAGTTTGATCCCCAGTACCAAAAAATAAATAAATAAAAGATATAAATTCCAGGTTTAATTTTTTTTTATTTAAGGAGAAAAAAAAGAACATAAAAAAGCAAAGCAGTAAAGGGGTACAAATCATACAGAATTTCAATTATAAAATACAGTAAGAAATCACCAGTTAATAGGTTACATATTGTCTTCTTAGAAACAGTTGTCCAAATTATAAAAATTAAAGCATATAAACTGAACATTCCTACAGGGAGACTGCAGACAATTCTGTTCAATGATCCAACAAAAGCTCAGTAATATGGTTTTCCTTCCTACACACTCAAACAGGCACTTCCCTTAGACCACCTTCCTTTCCTCTCTTCTTCACAATAACAATTACACTTTTGGGTTTTTTTAACTCCCATAGTTCTTATTACTTTTTTTGAAGAGAACAAAATCTCAAGTGAGTTAAGAAAACAGAGTTGGTTAGAACATAAGGATGGGCATAGTACTTGATGCAAAAATAGAATATCAGGTGATCAAAAATGGTTACCACTGTGCCTCTTACTATTTTTAAAAAGTTCCCTATATCATCAGGTATAATAGAATTGATTAAAACAGTACAGAACAAGACCAATAAAATCTTCACTGGAAACCTTACAGAATTTCAAAAGAAGATAATAGTCAAACCATAATGGGCATCATAGTAAATCTTATTGCCTACAAAGTGGTTGCCTATACTCTTAAACTTGATACTATCAAACAAAATAGAATATAGTAAAATCAGACAGAACAAGATGGGGAGAGCAATACTGGGGTTAAAATCAGGTTAATAGGAAAACAAATAAAGTTACTATAATATATCCCACTATTTTTTAATTTAGTTTTCCTTTAATTGAAAAAAAAATAGAATAAATTTTTTTAAACGGTGGAGATCGAGATAAAAGAGACATTGTAATAGAACAACACAGGTCAGAACTGAACAATTAAAGCATCATTTGGTTTCACCACCAGGTAATCTAACATAATAGTAATCAACATAGTGCCTCTTTCCTTGAATTATTTGAGTATAACTTCTTATACTATAGAATCAATCACATCAAGACAGTGTGAAGCCATTCAATACAATGAAAGAATTACAGGGTATTTAGAGCCAGTTAACAGAAAATGAACAACGATTTCTATATTATCTCTTTGGCTGTAAAAAATTGTTTTATATTATCACAGTAAAATATATTAAGATACAACATGTTAAATCCAGTGGAAACATGTACAACAACTTGATGGGAGTTCCAAAGGAGATGATATTAAATCAGCACTAGCTTTTATGATGTGTTATTTTCTTCAGAACAGCTATTTTCGGTACTAAAATCAAAAAACCCAGGGTAAAACCATTGCACTTAATGAGTGAAAACATTATATGGATTCAAACCAATATGATTGGGTATCATGATTACCACATAGTTCTCTGTATTATCATTTCTTATACTAGGGAATATATTTGGTATTTATACATGTGAGTTTGATTTATTTCACTTATGAGTATGGTCTCAGTCTGTGTCCATTTATTTATATGTCAATGTGATCATTCTTTATAGCTTAGTAGTTCCCCATTGTATAAAAACACCATAATTTTTTATCCATTCCTCAGTTGATGGACACTTAGGTTGTTTCCAAGATCTGGCTATTACAAACTGTGCTGCTATAAAAATGGGTGTACATATATCACTGTGGAATGATACTTTCAGTTCTTCTGTGAATATGCCTAGAAGTAGAATGCTGGGTCAAAAGGTGCTTCCAGTTCCAGCTTTCTGAGAAATCTCCAGACTGAGCTCCACAATGGTTGTACCAGTCTACACTCCCACCAAAAGTGCAGGAGAGTTCCTTTGTCCCAACAGCATCTCCAACATTTGTTGTTGGTGGTTTTCTTGATCTTGGCCATTCTTTCAGGAGTGAGATGAAATCTCATTGTGGTTTTAATTTGCATTTCTCTAATGACAATTGATGGTGAACATTTTTTCATGTATTTATTTGTCATTTGTATTTCTTCATCTCAAAATTGTTTATTCATCTCAGATGCTCATTTTTGGATTGGGTCTTTGAATTTTGGTGATCTCCTTTTTTAAAATGCTTTATATATTGTAGACAGAAGTCCTCTGTCTGAGGGGCAGTTCACTAAGATTTTTTCCCAGTTTGTGGGTTTTCTTTTCACTATACTGGAGATTTCATTTGATGTGCAGAAACTTTTGAATAAGAGGTGATCCCAATTATTGATTCTGGGAAGCATTTCCCATGCAGTTTGAGTCCTGTTCATCAATTCTCTACCTACTCCTATGCCTTCAAGGTTTTTACCCAATTTGTCTTCCAATAAATTTAGTGTTTCTGTTTTAATATTTAGATCTTTGGTTCGTTTAGATTTTATTTTAGAACATGGTGATAGGCATGGGTCTAGTTTTAGTTTTAGGCATATGGAGAGCCAGTTTTTCACCACCATTTATTAAAGAGAATGTCATTCTTCCAGTGAACATATTTGGCCCCTTTATCCTAATAAGGTACTCGAGTGTGTTTGTAGTTGTGGTTGTATCTTCTCATCTATTCCACTGATCTTTGGCTCTGTTTTGGTTCCAGTACCATGTTGATTTTACTACAGTTGCTTTGTAGTATAACTTCAAATCAGGGATTGTTGTACCTCCTGCCTTGATTTTGCTGCCTCTAACTCTCCTTGCTATTCTAGGTTTCTTCTAACTCCAGATGAATTTTAGGGGTGATTTCTCAAGTTCTATGAAGTATGTTGATGGTATTTTTATCGGGATTGCATTGCATCTGTATAAAAGTTTTGGGAG